TTAGAGCATGGGATTTTTTAGGTTAATTCTTTCCCTCTATTTCTTATTTAATATAAAGTTTAGTATCCCATAGACATTTTACCCTTCATTTTTTTGGTCTTTGATTACTAGAGAGGTGTCAGAGAGTAGCAACTGTTTGAGTGCTAAGGCACTGACTCACAAGATTGAAATTCAAGTCCTTGCTCTGAAACAGACATCCACATCTTACCCTGAGCAAGCCATAGAAGCAGTGCATGCATCAGTTCTTAACTGTAAAATGGAAAACAGAAAAATCTTTAAAATCATGCTACATAATATAGTACAGTACATGACACAGTACACTGCAGAATGTGAAAGTCAGTCATATCCTATGGCAACAGCAGCAATATTCACACTGTAAATATAAACTAAGGCTAGTTAATCCCAGAGAGAGGGGCATCTTTTTCACAGAAGTGTCACAGATTTCAATCAGCTTTAATGCCAATTGACTATAAGTCACTTGTGATCCCTCTATTGGCATCAGTCTGCTTTAGGCTAAGCTCTTTCCCAACGTTGTGATATTTGGGTTTCCAGTTCTGAAGGTATTTCAATTAATTTTAAAAGATCACTGAGATTTTTTTTCCCACAATAAATAATTCTATCCGTTTCTGTGAAACCCTTTGTTTCCAACACTTCAATTTTTGGCATAAAATACCTGCCAATCTCCCTTCTCACTGCTGAATGAAATGATAACATGGAAAGCAGAATGGAATAGGAAAAAAACCAACGGTGATGCCAGTGAGAGTTGAAAAAAAGCAGCAGTGATAAAAAACTCCCAGATTAAAAAGCCAGTGTAAAAGATAAAACAACAACAAAAAGAAAAAAGCCAGTGTAAAAGATAAAACAACAACAAAAAGAAAAAAAAACAACTAAAACAAAACAAACATTCAAAACCAACCAAAAAACCCCAAAACAAACAAAAAAACCAAAAAACTCCAGCACAGCAAAACAAAACAAAACAAAACCCAAAACAAAACAAACAAAAAAACTACAAAACAAAACCAAAACAAAAAACCTAAACAAAACCAAAGTAAACATCAAAAACTCCATACCTGGGGTGGAAGTTGGAGAGTATTTGTGTAGCTGTTAATCAAATATTCACTGTTAAGCAAAAGAAGAAGTTCATTGTAAAAAGAAAATCAAAACTGAAACCACATGGGAGAGAGAGAGGGAGCATGTTTGAAAGAGAGAAAAAGAACGAAAGGAGGAGAACACTCTAAATGTTAAAAGTCTCAGAGATCTGCCACATAACACATGGACACTGGTGAGTGTGACATTGCTTCAATGCACAGCTCCACCATTTTTCATTGGCCTCAACAAAACTTCATATGTCATATGTTCATATGTCTCAGCCTGTCATGAGATCCTTAGTTGTATCCCCTATTATTTTTTGCCCTCTGTCAACAGAGGGCAAAGACATTCCATTTCCTAGCTTGCTGTGCTACTTTGTCCATAAGTACCTCCTTACAATCACAACACTTATAATTTACTGTTTGCCTCAAGTTTGTCACTGTATTGCAGAGTGCAGTTTTGAGTCTCACTAAGGCCTCTAATTTTTTCCAAACCATCCATTTTTCTCATAGATAGAAAAATTTCATGAGCTTCTTGGCATTCATTTTTAGGGCATAGGCAGCATTATCATGTCAGGAAGCAATGTATATTACAAAAAAATACCACCATTCACTGTGTCACTAGGTCACAAGTGCTCCTCTATCCGAAAAGCTCAATAAATTTAGGTGTATTACTTTTTTTTTTTTTCTGCACTTTTCCCACTCCACATTCATCACCAACCAGTCCAGAGAGGTCCCAGTGCTGCCCCAGAAGAAACACACTCCTGCTCTTTCTTCACTTCTTACAAAAGCAGCTGAATATGTACCAAGCATCCACAGGAGCCAGCCGGGGCTGGTGAAATGCTCAGCACCACAGTGTCAGTCCAGTAGGACACCTGGATCCAGGCTCATACCATCAGCATTCTGCTTCAGGGGGACACACTGGCAAGGGGACACAAGCAGATTGTCACAACAGTCCACGATGCTCTCTATGTAGTGTAGTGAGAGCCCTCGTCATGTAACACAAGGTATGTATACATACATGAGCATGTTTGGCAATGACTGCATATTTGTGCGTAAATATTTATGAAATATTTTCATGTCTGGAGAAAGAAAAGGTATTCAGCTGTCCCATAATGCATTCTGCTCTTACATTGCTCTAAATCTTAATGACCAAGGTCGAGAATAAAGGCATAAGTGTTCATGTTTTTTGGCAGCAAAAATAGATTAAAATAACAGAATATGATTTATATTTAAATTTTAAATGTGAATTTTATATATGATTTTATATGTGAACAATGATACAATTATTTTTACTGAAGATAAAAAAAAAACTGTCAGCTTTGTTCTTTGTCTGTATATTTTTAAAAGCCTCTGCAAAACCACCATGACAAGATTTACTTCTCACACAGCCTAATTCCTCTTACAGCTCTGAATATTGCCATCTCAGGATCTAGAAGGTTGAGAGACATGTTTTTTCTGCAGATGGCATGAGAGAAAAATCAAGACATGACGTAGAGAAAGATGTTAAGTAGCAACAGACTAATGGAGAACATTTTGTCCTACTTTTGAGGAGCACATCAGGAACAGCTTGCTTTTATAGTGGATCTGAAGTATAATCACTGGCACTATGACTGCTGCAAGCATTGCTCTGCACTAATCACTACCATATTATTGAGAGTTTTGCTGAGCATTCTGTAAAAGATATGTTGCATTCTTTTTTTTTTTTTTTCTTGGCACTTATCTTGAAAATTAATCAGATATACCAAAATCTCTAGACAATAAATAATGATTAATCTGTAGCTTTTAACATTTTTGATAAGTTTCAGAGATTTATTGCTATTCATTTTACTAGCTGCCAAGAATCAAAACAATGACTAAATCTATGTATGGATTTCCTTTAGGTAAATCACAGTAACTAAATAGTAGAAGTAAGATGGTGCAAAAGAATCAAAGCCTTTAAAAACCTATTTTTAAATCTGCAGCATTCACCCATTTTTACCATAGTAAAGGCCAAACATTTAGAAGAATGATTTTTAAAGATATATTCACAGATTTCTATTCAGATATTGATCCAGTATCCATACAGAGTCCCTGCAAACACAGGTGACAAAAAATATCTTTAAAATCAGTCTTGTCGTATAAGTTGTAAGAAGTAAAAAAAAAAAAAAAAAATCTAGGCCAAGAAAGAAAAAGACAGAAAGAGAGAGAACAACAACAAACCTGCAAGTAATACTTTCTAGTCATATTATGAAATATTCTATCAAGAAATCCTCATTTAGTATTTAGAGAGTTAAAGACGTTCAAGCTTTGCCAAATCAGCTTCTGTATCTCCAAAAGGGATATGCTTTGTATGTATGACTGATGGATTGGGGGACCATGTAATCTGCTAAGCTTCTGGACCTGCTAAGTGTGAACCAACTCTTCCAAAATCTGAGCAGAAGCAGGTACTTATGAATCTAATCACTGTTTGCCACCTGAGAAAACTGGCCTTTAGGAGTGAGCCCTTACTCTGAAATCATTGGCAGAGCAGCCATTGACTTCAATAGATCAGTATCTTACCGTGGATTAAGTCTGGTATAAAGTGAATTTTATTTCCACGAAGTTGAATTTCAACCAGGGGAAGGAAGTCTGATTATTCTTTTACTGAAGCATTCAGGGTTCCTTGGATTTTGTTTATAGTTCTTTTCTTTTTTTTCTTTTTTTTCTTTTTTTTAATGTATTTGGACATGCAATAAGAGGTAAGGAAAGGGTTTTCTCCAGGATACAAGCAGTTCATTTTCTGTCAGCCTTCTGTGCTGTTCCGAATTTGTCGCAGAATCCTCTACAAGCTCAACATTTAAGACAAAGCTCACCACAGCTCCTTAGAATCTTCTCAATATTGTTTCAAGACAATATAGATTTTATCACAATACCTTTTTCACTATACCAGTTGTTCCTTAACCAACCAACCAGATAAATCAGAAAAATATTTCTGGTTTATTTCTTGCCTTTCCCTCTCCTTAACAGAGGAAAATATCCTTCACTATTTCAGAAGTCTAAAAATTATCAGAGGTCTACAGAATCTCACAATGCTCCTGTGTAAATCTGAATTCACAAATAATGGCATATATCTATATTTGTATACATTTCAATCTATAGTCCATATTGACATTAATTTTTTTCTTATCTTAATCTTATAGATACTCATGCATATATGCACATGTATTTGTTTTCAAGCATATGAGGACTGCATTTCCTTGTTCAAATAAGATGTACTACCAACTGCAACAGCCATCAAATTCCTCTGGCCTTTAGCCAACTTCAGGCAAAAGTTCATTTGTATCAGCAACTGCAGCAGCCTAAAGAAAGGGCACCTTTGGGGTTTGGCTTGTGTAAATGGGCCTGTCTATAATCACACCACAGCAAAGCCTCCTCTCATGGCAGAGGATACTCTGAGGTCCTTTGGGACATGCTCCTGTGTGGGGTGGTGGGTTGGTGTAATGGAGTCGATTTCCAAGACAAAGTTGCTTGTACTCCTTTAAGAAATTTTTCTTGTCACTTCAAAAACACTGTCTGTTGGAAGACTGTTCCTCTGACACATGAAGCTCACCATGCCCAAACCAGAAGTGTTAGAGATAAATGCTGAGTGTGTGTGTACATGTGTGTATAACATCCAGACTCTTAAACTTTAATCGAGCTCATACATAAGTTTCTCTGGTGAGGGTGAAAGTGTCGGAAATACAAAGCCTGCACACACATCTCCCAGCAAATGAAATGTGTCAGCAACAGCTGTAATCAATAATAATATAATATTCTTTCCTAAATAATGGTACAGCAGCAGAAGTGTGTAAGACAGTGATGAATTATTCAGCAGGTCTGTTTTGCTGCTACATTGCTCCTTCCATGCTTTAAGGTTTTCTACAGCTGAAACACCTGGCACAACACTCTGACTTCATCTTCTTCTGAATACCTAGATCTATTTCTTCCCTCATATAAAAATTACCTAAGTTCCTGAAACTTTAAACAGTCTTAAATAGCAAAATTATACGATGTCTTGAAGTTTTTAAATAAGTGCCTTATTTCTACTTCATAGTTTCACATGGAGATTTGTTCTGTATGTTAGCAGGCAGCTGCATATTAAATATTTTTGAAAGTAAATGCTTCAGACTATGGAGAATTTAATTCACTAGAGGGTGTATGATATTCTGGACAAAGTAGTCATTAAAAGACACACGGCAGATCTATTCAAGTGGTTAAAATGAAAGCCCAGGTTATGAAATCCTTACTTAAGTTGAACAGTATGCTACTCTCATGTAGATACTGCTTGGAATTGCCTAGAATAAGTACATAGTAATTTAGTTTTGTTAAATTAAATGATGCAACATATTTTCAGTCACCTAAATCTCTAAAAATGCATATACATACGTATATTTATATATATATATATGTATGAAAAGTACATCTTTCAGCAACTAATTGAATACAGATTATAACGTTGAACAAGTGCCAGAAGTTAAGATATCCAACTGTGGTTCACAGAAGGAAGGTAATTTCTTCAAAACAAAGAAGGTAATTTCCTTCAAAGCAGGAAAAACAAGTTGAAACTTTTTTTTCTTATAATTTTAAAGAAACAGGATTTTGTTTCTGCTGTGTTTATTTGAGCTATTCTGAAAATTATTTAAATCTTTGTCTGGACAGCAGCACATTTGCATCTAGAGATATTAATCTAATCTGCCATTCTGCTAGAGACAGCGAGATCTCTCTTAACGTATTTAATGTGCTGTGCGCAGCTCACTTTTAAATGCCACAAGCAATACAAATCCGTCATCTCTCCTTGGGAAGCTGCCTGATTCTGTAATACAGCTTACCGCTAAGTAGTTTCTCTGATACTCAAGCTATATTTCTCCCGCTTGATTCATGTTCTACTTCCCATTTCTTCACGTTAACTCCCTCTGCCCCTGCTACCAAATGAAGGAGAGCTGATTCCTACCTGTACTAGCTGCTAACTAACTAACTAACTGAGCAGCAAGAAGTAAATAACCCCCCACCTCGGAATGTCACCTCTGTGATGTCCCTGCCTTCACTCCATTCCTTGGACACTCATTGCTGTCCACTGCCAGGAGCAGGATCTCTGCCGTGACCTCAGAAAACCATTTCCCTCTCCTAGGAGACATTGCTGGATCACTACTGAAATAACTCAGCATTCCTGAAGGAATTCGTTATTTTTAAATAGGCAGTGCATTACTCTTGAGCTCTTGCGTAAGAAAGGTTTCTAACAACAGGCAGAGCCCAGCCTGCCCAGTGCCGTGTGCCTCTCAGCAGCCCATACTCAACTGAGCAGTGCGACACCGAGCAGCAGAGAGAATGCACGTGAAGGAAGGTCACAAGGTTTCGACCTAGATTTCAGTCAGCAGGAGTCTGCATCAGAAAATAAATCTGGATGTACCTCAGAGCCCTTGACAAAAAGACTACAGGCCCGACTGAGGGAGGAAAATAAGGTGCAACCTTGCCTTTGCACCACAGTGCGTAGCAGGGGGATGGAAAGTGACTATGCCTTCGTTTGTCTGCTGTGCTCTCTGTGATCGTGCACTGAGAAAAAAGGGATCTCCTGTGTCAAGCAGACTGCCACTCTGAGCAGAGAAAATAGCTACCTGGCTCATGACTGCTGAAACAGAAAGTATTTGTTAAACAAGCCATTAATTTTTAATAGCAAAGTTTTGAAAAGTTGGTCGGGAAATCTATGCAAAAATACTTATGCAAAAACACTTCTGCAAAAACACTTACAGACTAATTATACTTTCCTACCAGAATCCTTTCATGTCTCTCTCTGATTGTGGAAGCTGAGACATGACCTGTCTAGTCACCATCATCATTAGAACAGATTGACAAAGAAGCAATTTTTTTTTGAGTGCTTTTATTAACTTTGGCAAATGGATATTAAATTAACTGCAAGTTTTCACAAATGCAGTTACTGTAGCAGCTTCAAAACTTGAAGGAGAAACAAAGTGCATTAAATATAAATAAGTACATGAGGATCATAACTGTCCATCCCTGTATCAAAGTGAATGAGCAAATAATATCAGTTCTTCTACACAGAAAATAACTATTTTCCATAAATCTTGCATGTCCTTCGGAAAAAATAAAACTTTTTTTTTTTTCTGCTATACAGAGGAGGATTATTTACTAAAGGAAACAATGACTAGACCACATATGAAAATATATTGTAAACTGTTATCTACAATTCTTCAGTGAAGTGATAAATCAGGTTATGTAATCTCAGGTGATAATTCAGATCTATTATAGCTAGCATCTATGTTTATCCAAATACTTCTAATCTTAAATCATCACAACTATTACTGTCTCCTTCAAGTTCCAGTGAAATTTGTGTATTAAACAGCACTCATAAAACAAAGTTACAACTCGACAACTGAAAAAGGTACAACAATGAGATGGTCTAATCTAATTTTAAACAGCTTTTGACAATGGCTGCAGTAGCTCATTGTAACCATCCTACTTGCACTATCTGCTGATAGAAACTTAATTTCTTTTAATTTCTTGTATTATTGAATTTATTAGCAACACTGAACTGAATTGAAAGCTTCCTTATCTTAAATTTACTAGTGATAGTTTTTGCTGTGAAAATTTACAGGAATTTTCATTAGTACAAATGTGACTAAAGCAACAGAGGTTAATGTCCAAAATATATTTGGAATCCTAAAGAATGTCCAGTGCTGCTAAAGAACAGAAGCCAAACTTCAGATTGTCTTCTACTGCATATGGACATCTAGAATTAAATCTACTTTTTATTCCCACCTTGACACAGGCAGACCCTGTTGACATGACAAGAATTTGCTTAAAAAACTAAAAAGTGTTTTCAGCAGCAAAAGCCCTGGTGTAGACAGACAGATGAAGGAACAGATCATTGGCAAGGCATCCTACCACTGAAAGAGACCTTGTAATGGGTGTGTAGGCAGAGAGCATGTTAAGATAGGAATGTGTTGGGCAGGAAGCTTTGATAGGAACAGAGAAACCAAACCAGACTTCGAAATATTCTTTCTAAAACTGACATACAAAACAGCTGAGAACTTAAATAGCAAAAAGAACCATGACAAAAAGATGATGATAATGTCTTCTTCCTGCTGGATCAACTGCAAAGGGTTTCCAGTGTGGTGGCCTTGTATTTCATGCTTGTCCTTTTTCTTGCTAGTTAGGCTTGTCTTTCTCTTTCAAAGATACAACACCAAGTAGAAGCTTCCTCCAAAATTACCCAGTTTCATAAGATTATATCTTTTCTTCTGGGTTTTAGGAATTACGTGGCATATAACCACAACTTCAGCAGAGACCAAAGCTTTTCTCTATGGACAGTAATGAGAAACCTGCCCTAATGAAAACAAATAAAGTGGGGAGGGTGGAGATGGGGAGGGTGGGTGTTTAATGAGCTTATTTGGTAAGCAACTAAATAGGCTTAAGGAGGCATGTGTCCATTTTCTACTGTTTGTACACAATTCTTACATCATCTCTGCCAAGTCTCTTAATCCAGCATGTTTGCCAACTCAGAGGAAAGGGCAATAACATCCTATTTCATAGAAGACAGCACTGCTAACTAAATTCAAACTAGCATGCAGAGGTAGCGCAGTGATAAGGGCAACAACAGCCTCCAACCACACTTCTGATGCCTCCCCATATCTGTTCCTCACCACCGAGTAGTGTGGCTCAGCCTCTGGAGAGTCCTTCCTTGAGAGACAGATCCAGCTGAAATAGTCTCTTTCTCACAAAGCAGTAAGTGAACACCCAAGTCCAATGCTGCATAGGGAACTACCTGGTCCTAAGGTTAATTTTAAAAACAGTAAAACAACTAAATATGAAGATTCTAATTTGTCTGAGCAAATCTTTTCCACTTGAGGCTGAAAAATGAGGAATTGTTCGTGGAGATACTTAGAAATGCATTCTTTCCATGTGTATTAAACTCTTTTTTAGCTGCAAGTACTTATTCATAGACACTCAGCGTTCTTAGAGCAGCATGTTTATAGAAAAAGACAACTTTAGATAATAAATCTGTATATACCTGTATACAGTTCTAAACTGGCAGCACTCATAAAAAACACTAATTTTAAAATAATTTTCTTTCTCGTGATCTTTTTTTTCATGGCAAATAAGTAATTTTAATTGGATTTTTCATCTGATACGATATACAAATGTATTTAATGCAATTTCTTTTGCAGTAGTTCACATTACCTACATTAACAAAGACAAAAACAGTTCCTGAAATTTAAACCATTAAATGGAGAAGAAACAGGGTCTGTGAACATCTTAGGACACAATTCAGTCCACTTAGAAACATTTCAAAAGCTCTTTGTGGTTCACCTCATAAAGCTTCTGGTCCACAAGGCTCCTGCTTCAGATGTCTCCAAGTGAGATGCATGATGCATGCACAGAAAGATACATGACTGTATAAAGGGCTTCATTTTACAGCACCTGCACAAGAAGATTTTAACATAGTGTGGAACCTTTTGGCATTGCTGCAGTAAAATCTACATTTGCTATCCAGCTATTGGTGTTCACCATCCAACAACTGCATAATGTTATGACAAGGTGTTTTTCTTATTGGTTGGGGTAGTCTCTAAAACCTGGAATCGCAAAAAGGTCAAGAATCCCTGAAAAAAAAAAATTCATCTTGTTGAATTTGCTTTCCTGCTTTAGGATAGGTAGGTGGTGCTTTGGAGGTGCCTCTGCCCATTGACTGCAAAGTGAATCAATGGCCACTGTGGTATAATTAGTGTGGCAGCTCGGTGAATTGGAAAAGTTCTAGGCCAGCATCTGTCTATTGCATCTCCCAAAGTACAGTGAAAAAGTCATCACATAGCATTCCCCATCTCACATATTCATAGTCACCCCCTTGTCTCAACAACTGTCACTGTGACACTCCAGCAGTCCTACAAATGTAAAGTCCTACTTATGTAAATGATAATT